CGAAGTGGGCCCAGAAACGGGCTGCTGCGCGGTCGTGGGGGGAGTTGGGGAGGAGTTGCGGAGCAGGGGAGGGGAAGAAGTCGTCGAGAAAATGGAGGATGATGAGGGATTCGCAGATGGGGCGGCCGGCGGCGAGGAGGACTGGTACTTTCTGGTAAATGGGGTTGTGGAGAAGAAGAGCAGGGGATTTATGGGCAAGATCTTCTTCGATGTAGTTAAAGGTGAGATTTTTAAGCTTGAGGGCGAGCTGGATGCGGTGGGTGTAGGAGCTTGCCCAGGAGCCGAAGAGAGTCAGGGAGGAAGAATAAGAGTTCTCCGCCATTGATGAAGGAGAAGAAGGGTTTTGCTTGGGTTCTGCCATGGAAAGGGATGAGCTTTAAGGGGTGGGGGAGGAGGGTGGGTTATATAGGAGAGAGATTTGGGGATTACGAGGAGGAGGGGGATGAGGAGGTAATGGGTCTTAAGGTGGTGCAGCAGAGGGAGATGGGGGTGAGGACAGGGAAAGCTTGTCGGTCAAGTTCTACAAGCTGTCATAGCTTACTTCTTGTCGAGTAACAGTTGACTTGCTTGTAAAAGGTAAACATTCTTAACTTTTTATTTATTTATTTATTTAATTTTTTTATTTGTAATAAAATTATTTAGATGAATTTATGCATATATCATTGATATTTATATAGCTAATATTGATCATTTTTTTTTAATATTTATTTATATAACTTCTATATCTCTTTAAATATTTAAACAAAATAAGTCAAATTAATCTTGACTGAAATATTTTTTCATGCATGATTATATATTATGTTTATATATATATATATATATATATATGATATATTAGTTTTTTTATGAAAAAATACTAATAAGGATCCACTAGGTAAAAATGTGGCTATCAATGGAAAGTGCATAAGTGCATATGATAGTTTAGGACGATTTGATCAGAATAGGAAGTTATCGAAGATGTTGGAGAGAGCATCGAGATAAAACAACATTAAAAGGGTGATTATCTAGCTATATAGATTTGACGTGTTAACCGCACCTCTAGTAAAAACCATCAAACAAAAACCGCCTCATATGAAAAGTAGAAAAACCTCCTATGCCTTTATCCAGCCAGAAGGATGTGCTCCAGACTCCGCTCAAAGGTACATCCCAAACGCAAACAAAGGAAACCCTGCTACATAATAAAAAAAGCTCCCAGTTAATCAATCGAAGATTGTGCCACCAAACTTCATGGAGTGGTAACACGCTCCTCCACAACACTGTAATTCTTCAGGCATATCTGTATAATAGAAGTAATACATACATACATACATACATACATACATAC